TCATCTTAATAACAGTCATATCTTTTCATCTGCAAAGATGCTGTTTTTTCCAAATAAGGTCACTTTGCAGTGTCACGGGGGTTAAGATGTGAATATATCTTTTGGGGGCACCATTTCACCTGCCACATCTAGTTTAAAAATAATGGTCAAATAAAGAGCCACAGGACCAAGTCAGAATGTTCTGGAAACTTAGAAGCTTTAGTGTCGGGTAGCCAATAGTTCCAGTTGGTCCAAGACTGTCCTGGTTGTAGCACTGAAATTTCTAAACCTTAGGAAATTTCTCATTTTTAAACCTTAGGAAATTTCTCATTTTTAAATCTTAGGAAATTTCTAATTTCTAAACCTTAGGAAATTTCTCATTTTTAAACCTTAGGAAATTTCTCATTTCTAAACCTTAGGAAATTTCTCATTTCTAAACCTTAGGAAATTTCTCATTTCTAAATCTTAGGAAATTTCTCATTTTTAAACCTTAGGAAATTTCTCATTTTTAAACCTTAGGAGATTTCTCATTTCTAAACCTTAGGAAATTTCTCATTTTTAAATCTTAGGAAATTTCTCATTTTTAAACCTTAGGAAATTTCTCATTTTTAAATCTTAGGAAATTTCTCATTTCTAAACCTTAGGAAATTTCTCATTTCTGAACCTTAGGAAATTTCTCATTTCTAAACCTTAGGAAATTTCTCATTTTTAAATCTTAGGAAATTTCTCATTTCTAAACCTTAGGAAATTTCTCATTTTTAAACCTTAGGAAATTTCTCATTTTTAAATCTTAGGAAATTTCTCACTTTTAAACCTTAGGAAATTTCTCATTTCTTGGCAAAATTGGGCAGCTGGTCACCCTGCCTCCCCGGGTTCCACTCTGATCACCTGTCCCTCTGTCTCTCTCTCCAGCTCTCTACCTTCCAAACACTGTCCCCAGAGTCAGCTGACTTCCTTGCTTTTCCTTATGGTTGCCCCACCTCTGTGTATGTCTTTAAACAATAGATTGCTTAGATTCTCTCTTTTCGGAGTCACACAAGAGAAATCACACAGTCTGGAAGTTTGCTTGCTTCTTTCGCTTGATGTTGTGATTTTCAGATTCATCCATGTCTGTGCATGTGGTGAATCTATTTTCACTGCTGGAGAACATTCTCTCGCCTGAGTGTACTGCGCTTACTGTTGGGGTGAGCATTTGGGTTGACTCTGCCTGTCTCACCTGTGAATCGCTCCGCTCCAGACATATTCGTACTTATCTTCTGGTGCACCGGGCAGCAGCTTTGCAAGGGCCTACGTCTAAGCGCCTTTGCTTGCTGGGTCTTTGAAAGGGACACATTTAAGTTATTAGGCAATGTCAAACTCTCGGCAAAAAGAAAGCAGCTGTTTGCCTTCACCCAGCAGAGACAAGAGCCTGTTGATCCCTGTCGTCTCACGCTGGGGCCGCCAGCATGTCCGGGCTTCTCTAAAGGCACGCAGTGCACAGGGTCACAGTGAGTCTTGATATCTGGTCAAGAAATGACCCTGCTCACCGATCACCATGGTGTCCTTTTGCAGGACCGTATTGGCTATTTTGGGCCATTTAGTTTTTCATGTGTGATTTACAATAATCTTTTCAAGTTCCATATGGAAAACAAGCCTACTGCTGGGGTTTGGGTTAAATTTGCATTGGATGGTAGATCAAGGTGAGGAGACATGAGCTCTGTGGAATGTTGAGGTTTTCTGTCTAGGACCATGGTTTTTATCTCTACTTCTCTGGGTCTTCTTTAGCTCTTTTAAATAAAGTTTTGTAACTTTATCTGAAAGAGGCTTGCGCTTATTTTGTCATATTTATTTCTGGATACATTGTATTTATATTGCTGTCGTGATGATCCTAAATTATATCAACAGATGATTCTATACTTCGCCCTTCAGGAGGTGGAGCTTAACTCCCCTTCTGGTGAGACTGGACTGGATTTGTCTATTTGCTTCTGATGAAGAGATGAAAGCTGAACCGATAGTGTGTGCGAATGGACAGACAAGATTGCAGAGTGCACCGTGGCTTCATGCTCTCTCTCTTTTCCCCCATCCCTTCCTTCTTCTCTTCCTCTTCTTTTTCTCTCTCTGATCACTTATTCTGGGGGAAGCCAGATTGTAAGAACATTCAGCTGTTCTTCGAGTTGTAAGAACATTCAAAGAGTCCTGACAAGAGGCCCACGTGCTTTTTGAATGTTTTTATACACTGCCGTATTCACTCTGATAATAGGATTTTGCGTCTATGTTCACAAGTGAAATCGGTGTGCAATTTTCCCTTCTGGTCCATGTTTGCTTTTCATACTGAGATTTGCTAGCCCCATGCTATGACTTAGATGAATTTTCTAGTTCACTAATTTTTTCTCCATCTGCATTTAATCCACCAATGAATCAAATTATTGAGTTATTTTTAATATTCTTTTTATTGTGAGATTATTCTAGGTTCATATATTGGTTGGGAAAAAGAATACAGGGAAATCCTGTGTATTCTTTACCCAGGTTCCCCCAGTGGTAACATCTTGAAAATGTGGCATATATACACCATGGAATACAAAGCAGTCATAAAAAAAGATGAGTTCATGTGCAGGGACATGGATGAAACTGGAAACCATCATTCTCAGCAAACTGACACAAGAACAGAAAACCAAACACCACATGTTCTCACTCATAAGTGGGCATTGAACAATGAGAACACACGGACACAGGGAGGGGAACATCACACACTGGGGCCTGGAGGGTGGGGGGCTAGGGGAGGAATAGTAGGGTGTGGGGGGATTGCGGAGGGATAGCATTAGGAGAAATACCTAATGTAGGTGATGGGGTGATGGATGCAGCAAACCACCACCATGGCACGTGTATACCTGTGTAACAAACCTGCATGATCTGCACACGTATCCCAGAACTTGAAGTATAATAAATAAATAAATACATACATACATACCATAGCACAGTGTTAAAACCAGGATGCTGGCATTGATACAGCCATTTGCATCCCACTGGGTCCCTCCGGCTTCCCTTTTAGGCCCATGCCTACTTCCATCCCCAAGCCCGAACCTGATCATTAGCAACCACTAATCTGTTCTCGAGTTCTAGAATTTTGTCCTTTTGAGAATTACATAAATGAGATAGTGTAATGCGTAGCCTTTTGAGATCGGCTTTCTTCCCGGAGCGAAATTCTCTGGAGATTCACCCAGGTTGTTGCTTGTCATCAATGGTTTATTCCTTCTTTTGCTGAGCAGTATTCCATGGCATGATGAAGGCACCACAGCCTGTCTATCCATTCAGCTGCTGAGGCACTTCTGGGTAGTTTCCAGTTTGGGGCTGTTTCAAACAAAATTGCAGTGGATGTGTTTTTCTGTGAACCTAAAATTTCGATGGATTAGTCTATACTTTTCCCTTTACTCTACTTTTCTGAGATGACTGCCCGGTAATGCAATTCCTGGATCTGGAGATTTCTTTCTTTGGGGGGAATTTTTTAAATTACAAATTCAAGTTTCTAAATAGACACAGAGCGATTCAAATGGTCTCCTTCATGTTGGGTGAGCTGTGGTAGTGTGTGTTTCCACTCTGTCTAAGATTTCACATTTACCTCGTGGAGCTTTCTTGGTTTTATTCCATAATCACTTTTTGAAGTCTCTAAGGTCCTTTGTGATATTCCTGATGTTGGTGATTTGTGTCTTCTCTCTATTTCTCTTAGTCAGTCTTTTAGGAATTTTTCCAATTTTATCGATGTCTTCAAAGAACAAACTCTTTGCTTCATTAATTTCCCGTTTTTCTGTTTTCAATGTCATTGATTTCTGCTCTCACCTTTATTATTTCGCTTCTTCCTTCTGCTTGCCTTCATTTACTTTGCTCTTTATCTGGGGGCTGGCGGTGTAGGTGACTGATTTGAGGCTTCTCATCTTTCCTAACGTAGCTGTTCAATACTGTGAATTTCCCTCTCTGCATGGCATTAGCTGTGTCCTACAAATTTTGATATGTTGTATTTTCATTTTCATTCAGTTCAGCAAAAATTTTTATTTAATTTGAGAATGCTCTTTTGAACCATGAATTATTTAGATGGGTATCATTTGGTTTCCAACTGTTTCTATATTTTTGTGCTATTTTTCTGCTATTGATTTCTAATTGGATTCCATTGTGGTTGAAAAACACAATCTTTTAAATCTGTTGAGGTCTGTTTGATGGTCCCTGATGTGTTCTTTATGATATACTTAATAAAGAACACACATAATAAAGATGTATTTTGCCGGTCTGAGGGTAACGGGCCATCAGAACTTATTGACATTAGTATCACTAAAGTTGGTATACAACCCGCCTGCTGCTAACTTCGACTGGCTTAAAACGTGTGTATTCTGCTGTTGTTTGGCAGAATGTTCTATAAATATTATTTATGCCATATTGCTTGGTGGCATTTTAAACTTTTCTATATTGTTGCTAACTTTATGTTGAGTTTTTCTATGATGATTGACGGAGAGGTACTGACGTTGCCTGCTGTCATGTAGATGTGTTCATTTCTCCTTTCAATTCTGCCCATTTTGAACTTCCTGGATTCGCAGTTCCGCTGGATGCAGACACATTCAGGATTGCTACGTCTTCCTGGTGAACTAAGTGTTTTATCATTACATGATAGTCATTTTTGTCTCTGGTAATTGTCTTTGCCCTGAAGTATTGTCTGTCTGAAATTAACATAGCCACTCCTTTATTTGGTGGATATTTGTCTGAAATGTCTTCTCTCACCTGTTGACGTTCAAGCTGCTCATTTCATTATATTTGAAGTAAGTTTCTTTTAGCTAGTTACAGTTGGATCATGTTTTAAATGCCCTTTGCTAATTTCTCTCTTCCATTGATGTACATTGACCACTTACGTTTAATGTAGATATTGAAATGTTAGGATTTCAATGTCATTTAAATTTTTGTTTTCTGTTTGTTCTTTTTTTTTTTAATTTCTGTTTGCTCTTTTTTCTGTCTTCTTTTGGCTTCTATGAGAATATTTTAGAATTGTTTTTGTTTAACATAGTATTTTTGGTTGTATCCCTTTGTATGGCTTTTTAAATCGGTTTATCTAGGCATTATATAAGTTGTCATCGTCTACTGGTGTGGGCCATTTATCCGTTAAAGAATGGAAACTGTTCCAGTGCTGATGAGCCAAGTCCCCTGGTTCTCTTCTTTCCTGTTTGGAAAACTTCCTTCAGTCGTTCTTTTCTAGCAGGTCTTCTGGCAACAATCTTCTCTTATTTTTGTTCTCCAAGAAGGTCTTATTTCCCCATCAGTCTTGAAAAATATTTTCACTGGATGCAGAATTTTTGTTGCTGAAAACTGTGTAATACTTCCTTTCTTCCCGTCACAGTTTCTGCTGTGAAATCCTCTGTCGTTCCAATTGTTTTTTCTCCCTGGAGGTAAGATGTGGTTTCTCTTCTCTGCTTTCGAGATATTTCCCTTGACATTAGTTTTTGGAAGCTTGACTATAATGTCTATTTGTTTGGATTTATCTTTTAGGGTTTGCTTAGCATTGGAAGTTTCAGGCTTATGTCTTTTTCCGAATGTGGGAAGTTTCCACCGATTATTACCTGCCGTTCTTTTTCCTCCTGCACGTGGCGGCATCAATGTTAGGATGTTAGTGACAGCCCTGCAGGTCCCCAAGGCTCTGCTCCCCTTTCTTAGCCTGTTTTCTCTCTGTTGGTCAGATCTGGCAGTTTCTATCATTCCACTGTTCTTGCCTTCATTCCCTCCATTCTCTTGGTAAGCCCATCCATTGGGCTTTTAACATTTTAACCACTCTATATTTTTTCAGTTCTAAAATGTTCACTTGGATTTTATTGACATCTTCCGTTTGTTAAGACTTTTGATTTATTATATGAGACCATTTCAAGCATGTCTGAAACAGTTTTTGATGGCTGCTTTAAAAAGTCTTTTGTCAGGTAATTCTAGCATCTCTGTCACCTCAGCGTTCAATGTGATGGATTCTCTTCTCTTCTTTCACTTTGAGAGCTTCCTGGTTCCTGTTACCATAAGCGATTCTTAAAAAATGGAAAATCCTGGACACTAGATTCTCTGCTGTAAGAATGAATTTTATGTGAAACAGGAGTCACGGCTGGCTTTCTGTGATGCCACTCTGGCAGGAAAAGGGGCTGCTGTCCTGACCTTACCAGGAGAGGCTAGAACTCCAGGATTCCTATTTGAGCTCCACTGGCTTCTGAGGGGCTACACCTCATGTCTGTGGGTTGTGAGTGGAAGTTCCAGATCCCCACTAGGCGCCCACTAGGGTTAGCTGGGTTGTGGAGTGTGGGGGTTCCTCATTACTTCTCCCTTTGTGGCCCCAGAGGAGGAAGGCCAGCCTTGTTTCCGCTGGATGCTGGTAAGATTCCTGACTTTCCACTAGGGGTTCTCTGACACTACCCTGGCAAGGAGCAGGAGAGGGTGGGAAAAAGCTTTCTCATTCCTGGGTCCCTTGGCCTTGCCAAATTCCAAATAGCAAGGAAAAGAGGGTGTCTTGTTCCTGCTAGGTGGGGTGGAGGTTGGGGCTCCCCATATGGGCTCCACTGACACCATGAGGGGCTCCTCCTTCTGCCTCTGGATATAAATGTCCCAGCTGCCTATGAGGCCTTCTCTGATGCCATCTTGCAGTGGGAGGTTGAGGCACCTCCACCAAACCACATGAAAGTGGAAGTCCCGGCTCCCCACTTGGCCCTGGCTGTATCAATGGCCGGGAGAGAGTGGTGACAGACTTTCTCCATGGTAGTCAGCTAGAGTAGAGCTCCTGAAAGTCTTCTGTCTTGCCAGGCTGCCTCGGTCCTAACCCACAGCCTGCAGGGAGCAAACTCTGGCTGGGGCTTTCATTGTCGGCACCTGTGGGTATTTCCGGATCGCTGGCTGCTTCCACCTGAAGTCTGAGATACATAAGGTAAGAAGAAAACCCCGAAAAGTCACCCCCGTGAGGTTCTGCAGGCTCCAGGGTCCCTCGTCCATCTTCCTCTCCTGTACCCTCCAGAATCTTTGTGTGCGGTTCCATGAACAACCTCCAGGGCCGTGAGTTAACACTCAGCAGGTGCCCATAAGATAGGCCTGGTCGTGCAGAGGCTAGTGTGCTTGATTTAAGCATCCAGGGATTGCATCTGTTTTAATGCCTAGTGATGGGACAGCTCATGAGTCTAAGACGTCTTGTGATGAAATGAGCATATGGATATCTGCTTCTATTGCTAATGTTGTTCAGTTATCTACTTCAACAAGTCGAAATTCGCTGGGTTCAAGAAAATACATTGGTATAATATAAGAGTCAAGTCTTCGTAGTCTGAGTCTTCGTAGCTTCAGTATCATTGGTGACCAATGGCTTTAAGGCCTAAGTAGGGTTTATGAAACCTGTCTGTTATGTACAGGATATGCGGGAATGATTCATGCGTCCATTCCATCCTCCTTGACCTGGAGATCACTGAGCTTTTTATTTCAATGATCATGTTTTTCATTTTTAGAAATTCTCTTTAAAAAATCGCCTGGGCTCCGCATTTACAGCTCTTTTTTACTTTTTTAAAACATCACCTGCATGAACGTCTGCACGTCTGCTTCTGTTGCTTTGCACTCACCTGATTTGTTTTTCACTTGGGAGGCAGGTCGCTCTTTTCCCTCAGCACTACCCAGAGATTTCTTTGAGAGGTGGGTTGAGATTCATTTCCTTCAGAGGCCTCACATTTTCTTCTTCCTATTGTCTGGGGCATTTCCACTGGGCACAGATGTAATTAAAATTTCCTGTTTGAAGTTTTTTGATCTGTACTACAGTGAATTCAGACTGCAGACCTGGAAGAGGACTGGCTTGTGGTTTTCTGTAAAAGTTCTTCTCCTTCCCCCACATAAGAGCCGAGGCATGCACACTTCTTTGTTTTCTGTACAGCAAGGGTTATTGCTTGCTGTATGTGAAGGTGGGCACAGCTGCGTGAGCATCGCGGCTCAGCCATGTGACTCAGGCCTGGGCACCCTGTCTGGGTTCTGCCTCCATGTTGGTCAACACTGCGCGGTGCTCCCTGGCAGAGCTGTTGTTGGGACTGGAGAAGGGGTGTGTGGAAATGGACTTCGTGTGACATTGGAATCCTGCTGTGGACTTGGCTTTGTGGGCACAGGTGGGGTTAAGGCAGAAGCCCCACTGATTCCCTAAAGTGTAATGTGAGACTGTCGCTCAGAGGTTCCGCTGCCCGATGAACTCCCGTGCCCTGTCTGGGCTGGCCACCCAGAGGTCTGTGGGAACGGGCACACACTGTGCCAATCCAGACCCCATCTCTGGCTGCAGATGCCCTGAGCAGGTGCGTGTACATGCAGGCTTGGTGCAAGCTGTCCTTAGGACTAGAGCTGCAGCTGCTCGGATGGCTCCTGGTGGCATTCCTTGCCCTCCACAAGCCCAGAGTCTGGCTTGTAGAGGGCAAGGCCATCCTGCAGGGAAGAGGTGGGAGGTGGGGCTGCTGAATAGCAGCACTCAGTGTGTCCTTGGCACCTTTGGCAACTAACAGCTCAAGGAACACCTACAGACCTCAGCACGGCAGTGATGACGCTGATGGCGTTCAGGGTGGACTGTGTGCTGCGTGCAATGTGGACCAGACGCACCTGCTGTTCTTCTCCCTGCTTGCTGGCGCCCAGGGTTGAAGTGGGAAGGGAAAAATGGGGCATTACCAGTGAGAAGAGTGGACTCCTTGTCTGCAAATGCCACCTGTTGTCCTTGCACCAGAGCATATCTCTGTGGACCCTGAGGTTCTCTTGTCCCAAGTCCTCTGTCACAGTGGGGAGTTCATGTCAGCAGGGAGGAAGCCAAGCCTGTGACCAGCAGACCCCAGCTGCCACCAAGCCTCTTGGCCTGGACTAGCTGGCACCCTGAGAGGAGCAAGGGCTCATAACACCCAAAAAGCTGCTGGGGGAGAAAAGCCATCAGGATTCCTCCCTGGTCCAGGACCTGGCACCTGGTTGGTACCTGCTATGTGTCCATGTCCGTGTGGCTGAATAAACGAGTGATGGTGTGAGCCAGGGCACTCACCGAAGTCCTCAGGCTGGGTTCTGCTCTCAAGCAGTTTTCACCTATTAGAACAGAAGCATTCTGTCCAGAGTCAGCATAGGGAGGTGGAAAGCTCCTTAGCTCTGTATTTAAGTGGGGCTTCTGCCAAAATGTAGATTCCTGGGCTGGGGGATTCCACAGGCTGTCATGGATCAGAGCTGGTGGTGCTGGGGTACTGCAGCATGTGGCCCCAAGCAGCACCTTGGGTGATTGTGTGCGCACTGGAATCTGAGATTCCACTGCCTTGAAGAGGCTGATGCTGGTCCAGTCTCTGCTTCAAGCTGAAGCTTGCGGATATGCTGAGCTTGGCGCCATCAGGGGCAGGAATGGGCACTCCTGTGCCACGTGCGGGGTAGGGGAGGCTGTAAGACTGTTTGTGGGGTTCTTAAGCCCTCTGTATACTGAAATCAAAGCTTCAGAGCCTTGAAATGATACAGATGGCGGGGCTCCACCCTGAGATTTGGAAGTTGTTGACCTGGGAGGGTCTGGGCAGGTGCTTCGTGAAAGCTTCCCCCATGCTGTTATTGAGTGGTTAACATTTAGAACGTGAATGTCTCAAATGTCTGCTTTTTATGACCCGTAACTGAGTACAGAGTGCCCAACTGGTGAGCAATGATGAGTGTTCCCAATATCACTGGTGTGCTCTCCTTTGGGGTGTCCAGCAGGACTGAACTTCCCTAGCCTAGAAGTTGATCTGGGCAGGAGACCAGCTCTGGCCGTCAGGTTGGTAAAAGTGATGTCCAGGTGCCAAGGCCACGGCTCCCGCTGCTCTGCCAGTCACACTGCGCTCACGGCCAGTGAGGGCACACACACTGTGCTGACGCCGCTGAGCTTTTGAGCTTCTTCGTCTCCACGTTACTCCCTAGCCTCTCCCGACAGACGTGTTGGGTCGGGTTTTATCAGAGAGTGTTAAAGCTCACAAGAGTTCTGGATCATCAAATGCCTCCTTCATTACCTTGATAGGATAAGTGAACTGACTTTTCTTTTTTGAGCAAATACAGTTTTCTAAGTCCTCCAGTTTTATTTTTAATATGTCCCTCCCTGAGACACAAAGCCAGCCTTTTGGTGTGAAAATGTTTGCTATCGCCTTGTCAAGGTAGTGCAATGCGAAATGCATTCAGTTCGTGGAACTTGGTTATTTAGTTTGTCCCTGGGAAATGAGTGTTATGTCAGGTAAAAAAATCCAAAATGCTGAAAGCAAATGGGGGTCTTTTCTTACAGAGAAAAATGCCTGCAGGAACTCAACTGATCCACGAGGGATGTGCGCAATGGGCTCTGTTCTCCTGAGTTCTATTGAGGGAAATTTCAAGTTAAGGAGGAGGAAGAAAATACACCACTGATTTTATTTTTGAGATGGAGTCTTGCACTGTCGCCCAGGCTGGAGTGCAGTGGCACGATCTTGGCTCACTGAAACCTCTGCTTCCTGGGTTCAAACGATTCTCCTACCAGTAGCTGGGATTACAGGCACCTGCCACCATGCCAGGCTAACTTTTGTGTTTTTAGTAGAGATGGGTTTTTTGTCATGCTGGCCAGGTTGGCCTCGAACTCCTGACCTCAAGTGATCCACCTGCCTTGGCCCCCCAGAGTGCTGGGATTACAGGCATGAGCCACCGTGCCTGGCCACCACTTACTTTAAAATGCATTTTTTCCCCTCAGGGGAAAATTAGCAGCTATTATGATTTCCTGCTTTTTGTAAGAATGTTTTTTCAACTTCTAATGTTTCAGACTTACCGGAAGCTCCCTGCTATTTAGGGTTTGAATGATTATGTGGCTCTTTTCTAAAAGTCAAAATTCACTTGACAAGGGCCAATTCAATTTTTCTGAAATATCTGATATGAAATGAAGAAGCTTGTAGATACTAAGAACTTTGGAGAACATTGGAGGAGAGAATGCCGGCAATGGCTTGCACTTTCTTCAGCACCGCTGAGAGAAGGGTTTGGAATGTGCCCTCTTGTGTTCCGGGCGAGTGCTCCCCATCCTAAGCCACTCAGGTCCCCAGAACGCGACAGCACCTGGAGGGCAGTGAGCTCGTCGTCCTTGGCGTTTGAAGGCTATCTACCTGTCCCATCCCGGTAGGCCACCTTCCTGCTGGGAACACTGGAAAACCACAGAATTGCTTCTGATGAGGTCCCTGGGAAGATGTGCTCCAGGACTCAAAGCCATGCCTAAAGAGGTGGGTGTTCAGGCTGGCACCGAGGAGGCTGTGTTCATGCGTTCCTCCAGAAGCGGCTCCCTGAGAGCAGGTTGGGGGCGTGGCATCTAGACCAGCAGGGGGGTGATCACGGCCCCTCCTGTCCTGCACACCCCTGTCCTATGGCTTCTCCTTTTCTTCCCGGGACTGCACTTTCTAGGAGGAGGACATGGCATCCAGGATGCAGGAATAGCTGGTCAGGTGCTTGTCTTGGAGAGAGGCTGGTGCCAAGCTGCAGCTGTGGGTTCTCTTGCTGGTTGGCATTCTGGGTGGGTACCAGCCTGGCTAATGGGTACAAACTGGATTCTCTGGGCTGAGGAAGACTAGGGTGAAATCCTGCTTAGCCCCCACGTCACATTCATGTTTAGACTGCCCTGAGCTGCCTGCTCTTTGTGTGGAGGCTGCAGGCATTGCCAATAAATACAGACCTATACACCTGTGGGGTTAAAGTAAGTTGGCATAGCTTGTGCATCAATTTGGGCTCACAGGTCAGGTGCAGTCCCTGGTTTTCTCTGTGAGTGGGTGGGGAGAGTGTCCAAGGGTGAGGAGCAAAATCATTCCAATGGGGGGGGAGAGTCTGTGCTCCCTTCAGTAAGCCAGCAAGGCTCTCCTTCCTCCCTCTGTTAAAGAAGGAAGGGAAGGGTTCAGAGGACAGAGGTGGGCAAGGGAGGCGGGTGGCATGGGAGGGACAGGAGGTGGGACAAAAAGAAGCAGTACTTTCTGGACGAAAGCCTGCTGACATCTCTTGGCATAGTCTGGGAGCTCAGCTGTGGGGGTCGGGTGGCACCCAAGGCTGCTGGGCACTTCATCTGCAGTCCCCAGGCATCCACTCCCTCCTCCTTGGAAGCTGACTTCTTAGACACAAGGGAAGCACCTCACAGACCCTCCTCCTATGAAACTGAGACCTTACCCTTGCATCCTTGGGTGGCCTCAGAGTGAGGAGAGCCGCTCTAACCATTGCACACACGGGGGATGGGTGCCACTTGCATTGGCCACCATTGCCCTATTAACATAGCAGTTTCCCTGAGTGTTGGTTAAAGTAAAAGCCAACCTTTTAGTCTGGAAAGCAGTGGAGAAGCACTGCCCTCTGACCATCCTGGATGAAATCTCTTCTGAAAATAGTCTTCTAAGGGTCTACAGAAAATGAACAATTATAGGAGGACTGAAAGGTCAAAAATGGCCCATTTTATTTTCTGGTTGCAAGTGGGTTTCTTTTTTGTTGTTTCCTCTTAAACAGCTGCTACATTGTGCTGGCGATCTTGCTTAGCTGCATTAGAGGAGAAAAACACACCAGCCTTTGCTTCAATCCAGACTCCTGTGCTGATTATTCTCATTTTTGGTTTCAGTGCAGCAAACTTATTCTTTTATTTGAACAGCAGCAGCATGTTCTGTTCTCAGCTGAGGGCAGCACATAGCAGGTGGAGTCTCACTCTGTCACCCCGCCTCAGGAGTGTGCCCACCAGGAAGTCTGCTGCTGCTGCTGGTGGCGTGTGGGAAGGGAGCCCACATCTGCCACGTGACCGGGGTGGCCTCCCTGGCTGAGGAGGCACAGCCTCGCCAGGTGTTGCCACCAGTTCTTCCTGCTGGCTCCCCCTCATCCTGTGACTCTTTTTCCTCCTTCTTGGGTAACGAATAAGAGCAGTGATACAGGAGTTAAGGAGAGATTCCTCAGGCAGAGAGTGCGGGCACGCAAGTCCTTGGTAAGGTTTTTCTTTTAATGAAAAGCAGCCCCAAATCGTTTTCCTTGCTAACAAAGAGCAGCCTGTAAAATCGGGCTGCTACATGGATGCTGGCAGTGGTGCCAATCACGTTCAGAAATGGCGACGCCATCTTCCCTTCTGCCAGACACCCGTATGTATAGTAAGGAGCTGACAAGATGGCGCCGGCCCAGGTGAAAGGTCATTTGCATAATAAGATCCGGGTGGGGCGGCCCGACTTCCTCTCACGCTGTGTAAACGTCATACCTGAGCGACGGAAGCTGTGAGCCTTACGTAAACCAGACAGCGCCGCCTCCAGCTGGGCTAGACACTCCCCTGCATCCCGGACGCCTCTCTCCTCTGGTGAGTTCCCTCTCTCGCACTGGAGAGAGCGCTGTTTTCCTTTCTCTTTCTTTTTCAGTTCCTTGCCTATTAACTCTCAGCTTCTAAACTCCTTGCGCGTGTCCGTATCCTACATGTTCCTGGCCTGAGAGGAGAAACCCAAGGTATTTAACCACTCGGTGGGATTAAACCCAGCTGAATACAGTACGCCCATGGAGCCACTCGGTGGGATTTCTGTAATTTGGAGTTTAGCACGGTTAGAAAAGGCTCGTTCATGGTAAAGTCTTTATTGCTCCAGTTTGGGCAATAAAGGCTGCTCAGAACGCACCTCCTCTCCCCGGGTTCTGGCTCTTCCTCCCGACAGGTGCATAGGTTCAAGGCTCTTAACCAACCACTACCACCTGCCTCTTCCCTTATCACTCTAGAATCCGTGGTTTTTAAAAAAAAATGCTTAGCCATTTCCCAGTAGACTGGCGTAGGGGCTAAGAGACTCCGCTACAAGGTAAGATTCTGCAGGTTCACCAGCCACTTGACGGCTGTGGCCTTTGGCCTGGGTCGGGCTTTGCTTTGGTTCACTCTGTGCTTTCTAATTCTTTCATGGGAAGTGAGGTTCTAACAAGGGCCCAACTCAAAGGCCAATCATGAGGACTGAGTGAAAGAGCACATGTAAGTACTTAGACTAATGTGGAGAGAATTTCGTAAATTATCAGAGTGATTAGGCAGGTCCAAAGTTCCCATGATACTTATTCTCTACTGTGTTTCGAAACTCAAAAAAATGGAGACAAACCAAACAATCAGGTAACCACCAAGTTTCTACACCTGTTAACTGCTGCTGGTTTGGACCAGCCCTTCCACTGAGGACACATGGAAAAGCTGGACAAAGAACCTGAAAAATCTCTTGGAAAGTGTTGGAGAGTTACCGTGATCTAGGGCAGGAGAGGTGGAGATAAAGGAGCCTGTTATTTGGGGTGGGTTTCGCCGTAGAGATCACTGCAGTTTTTCAAAGCGATGGCCCCGAGGCTGAGAAGCAGAGCGAGTGCTCTGTAGGAACGGAGGACTAGGGAGACAGAACTTGAAGTAAAATTTTGATAACTGAAGGATGCACGTTGTAATCTCTAGGAAAAGCATGACAGAGTGGTAAAAGCATGTGTAACTATCAAGCTAACAGAGAGCAAATGGAAACATTTAAAAAAAATCTAAAAGATGGCAAGAAACGAGATAAAGGAACATAGAAGAGTTAGGCAAGAAAGAAAGTCGATACTAAAATTGTACATCAACTTTTAAATATACCAGCAACCCCCAGGCTTTGGTTTAGGTGGTCAAGGATAACTTGTCCTCCTGGTTTACCTAACTAAAAGAAAAGATGAATACTTTCTGAAGGACGATACACCACTCAAATCGTCAAATTATCCCCACTATTTTTCATATGAAAGTTTTCCATTTCATTTAAAGAAAACAGCTAGACAAAAAAGAAACAAAACATAACCAAAAATCAAAAGAACGTGAGCAAACAAGACATCTCCACAGTATCCAGAAGACAGAATCACTGACACGAGACTGGAGTTCTCAGACAGAAACTTTATAATAGCAATGCTTAATATATTTATGTAAATAAAAGTTAAGATCAAAGAAATTGACAATCTGGAACTATTAAAAAAAACCCAGAATGCTAATTCTGTAGCTGAAAAGTACAATAATGGAAATTAAGCATTCAGTAGCTGAGTTTAATGGCACATCAGATAAATCAAAGGGAAAATCAGTAACCCTGGAGCTGTGTCAGAAGAACATATCCAAAATCCAGTCATTGGGAGATAAATGGATTAAAAAAATGAAAAACAGAAAAGTAATATTGGGCTGAGTGATGTGAATTTTGTAAAAAACAATGAGTAGTGATATTAGGAGGAGCCATATGAGTTTTATAAAAAACAAGAATTGATACTGATAATTCCTCATGGCTCAAATTAATACCTAAAATTGGGGCTCAGAAGGCAAAAAAGTAAGAATAGCAGAAGACAGTACATGACAGATCCAAGCAGTGCTGTAAAACCCAGTGTAAATAGTGAGAAAACCACAGCAAGCAAATTATAGCGAAATTGCTGAAATCAAAGACAGAGAATTTCTTAAAAGGGACAAAACAAACAAAAACAGGCCACTTCTTACCTTCAGAGAAACAAGATTGATAGCTGACTTTTCAATGAAAATGGTGAAACAAGATATGTTTAAAGTGTTGAAGGAACATAACTGCTTATCTGGAATTCTGCATGCTGTACCAGTATCTTTCAGAAATGAAGGCAAATAAAGGTTTTGAGACAAACAAAAAGATCAGCATAGACAACAGTAAGAGAAAGACACGATTATTATGCAGGCAGAAGAATAATGATCCCAGATGGAAGTTCAGCAGTACAGAGAGGAGTTAAGAACGAAGAAAGGGCAACTGTGTGGGTATATTTAAAAGAATATCATAATAATGTTAAATGGAAATGGGTTTTAACATATAGAGTCTTAAAATACATAAACTCGATGGTATACAAGTTGGAAGGTGGTTAATGGGGCGAATGTGTTCTAATTAGAAGAAAATAAATGCACATATTAGGAAAAACACTAATCATTAAAACATCCACCTGCAGAAGCACATTAAACCCTAAGAAAGTGGAGGGTGGAAATAATTTAAGAGTATAAATTAATGGCATAGAAAATAAACATACAATACAGAGATTTAATGAAGCCAAAGTGCAGTCTTTGCATAGGGGCCAGCCCTGCCTGGTATCAAGAGAATTCAGGACTGCAAAGAGGTTAGTGCCACAGATACTGCAGCCACCACACAGGTCACAGATGACCAATCCCTGGGAGAAATTTCACAGAGGTAAATTTGAATATTGGGATGCAATTATTAAATTCCTGGAAACAGAAAAACAGACTTGTGGGAAAATAGAAACTTGGAGTATTCTTTGCAGAATTAAATATGCCAAATTTATATTTTTACACACACACACACACACACGATATATTTCATGTTCAAAAGTTTTCAGCAGCAGATTCTATCAATCAAACTCTGATGGAATAAATTATTCCAGTCCCACGCGAGAGAACATGAAAAGAAGCTACACATTCCAATTTCTTTCATAAGAGTCAAAGTGAAAATGGAAATTTGACACAGACATTACAAGAAAATAAAAATTGAGTTCAATGTCACAAATGTGGATTTTAAAATCCTCAGCAAAACGTTAGCTAACCTAGTCTAGCAATGAATAAAATGATCATACGTGAGGTCCAACTCACATTTATTCTGGAATACAAGACTGATTTAACGTTTGAAAGTCAATCAGTGTAAGTCAGCGAGGAACCAGAACAAAAAGGAAAACTCATGACCTGTCAGTAGATGAGGGAAAAAGCCTTTGATAAAAACTCTTAGAAAATAAGGAAGTAAAGATATGTAACTTAACCTGATGGTCACATAGAAGATCCTATTAAATGGTGAAATATTCAAATATTTTCCCATAAGACTGGAAGCAAACAAGCATGTCCTTTTAAAAATACAATTTCCATTTAACATTGTGCTAGAATTCATAGCCAGTGCAGTAGGAAAAATTTTAAAATAACATTTATCCTAGTTCAAAAAGAAAACTCATTATTTGGATATTATTTGGAGTGTATAGAAAGCACTCCAAAGAATCTATAGGGAAATTATTAAATTTTAGATAGCATGATGGTTAATGTTGGGTGTCAACTTGATTGAATTGAAGGATGCCAAGTACTGTTCCTGGTGTGTCCGTGAGGGTGTTGCCAGAGGAGATTAGCATTTGAGTCAGTGGACTGGGAGAGGCTGACCCACCCTCAATCTGGGTAGGCACCATCTAATCAGCTGCCATCATGGCCAGAACAAAGCAGGCAGGAGAAGCTGGGAGAGCAGACATGCTGAGACTTCTGATCTTCATTTTTTTCTCATGCTGGATGACTTGTGCCCTCGAACATCAGACTCTAAGTTCTTCGGTTTTGGAGTCTTGGACTCATGCCAATGATCTGTCAGTCCCTCGGCCACAGGCTGAAGGCTATGTTGTCGGCTTCCCCACTGCTGAGGTTTTGGGACTCGGACTGGCTTCCTTGCGCCTCAGCTTGCAGACAGCCCATGGTGGGAATTTACCTTCTGATCATGTAAGTCAGTGCTCCTTAACAAACTCCCCTTCATGTATGCAGCCATCCTATTTGTCCCGTCCCTCTAGAGAACCTTGACTAATTCAGATAATTTAATAAGACACTGAATTCAATGTTAATTGTATTTCTGGATACTATCAAGAAATATTAGAAAATAAAATGGGAAATTCTTTGCCATTTACAATAGTGTTAGACTAAAGGAACAGAATAAGATCCAGGAATAGACCCACACAAATGTGGACATTTGATTTTAATGGTGGAGCAGATGCAGATTTTTCTTTTCACCAGATGATGCTGGGTCCTCTGAATATTTATGTGAGGAAAAGTCAGCCTTGCCACATAAACAAATGCCACCCACACAGTGAGCTTCAACATGAAAGGTAAAAGGAAAAAAATGAAGTTCTATTCATCAAGGACAAGATTCGCAGATTAGATTATGGCATCACTTTTGGTCATCCAGGGAGACCACAAAGGATAAATGCAAGCCGCAGAGTGGGAGATATTAGTGATGCATGTGGAACACATGTGGCTGCTGTAAAGAGTCTGGATTGAAGGAGAGAGATGCTAAAATCTCAGTTCAACTATGGCGATTCTTGCCATTTTTTTGGTGTTCTGCTATCAAAATTCACCGTGATTCATGGCCAGGCTCAGATTTAACACCCAAGTCTGCTCCCTGGCTTTCCCTGTGCACCTTGCTAAGATTGTGAACAGGGTGCAGCTCCCCCGCATAGATGCATGCAGACCTGCCGCAGAGTGGAGCTCTCCTAGGTGATTGTGGCGCCTCCTGGGACCCCCCCCCCCGCCTTCCCTTCTTTGAGCGCTTTCAGTGCAATGCATGAGGAGTGAAACTGCTATTTGTCTGTGGAGGTGAGATGCCAGCGAGTTTCCCCAGATACCAGCTGGTTGTCATGCCAACCCTTGTCTTTCACGGGTGATTGAGCTAACCTTTGCCCTCAATCCTTCAGCTTGATGAGGGGCACTCAGCTCCATTTCTTTGCCCAATTATGGGGGACTTCCACATTTTACTGAAGATGCACCTGGCGGTCTGATGGGTGCACCCCGGTTTGGTAGAGGGCCTCACAGGGGTCCAGCTGCCTACTTGAGATGGTGTGAGTGTGCCACCCACCCGTGCCTGCCTCAAAGTGTCTGTTTCTTGTTTTGAGAGCCCTTCTGGACCCCCATGGATCTGATGTCCTGTGACCCTGATGGTATCTCTCAAACACACCCAGGCCGTGACCCCTTCAAGCTCATCTTTGGCCCCAGTTTGCGTGCCAGATCCTGGACTCTGTGAAGGTTTAAGATTGAGGAGTGGAACCCCAGAAGGAACAATGAAGTAATTACCTGTGTGAAACCCATGCGCAGCTTGCCTGTGTCCTGCTTCACGAGATCCAGAGATGGCGTTCAAGAGGAGCACAGGTGCACAGAACAAATCCTCACAAAGGTAAGTGAAGGCTCTGGGAAGAGGTGCCACCCGAGCACTGGGCTGTGTCTGGGAAGCACAGGTGGTGGCACCTACACCCTATTTGACGGCAGCGATGACTGGATTGAGTTTACCTGAGTTGGGCTTAAATATTCTGGTACAGCTTAAAGGCAAATGGGACTTCATGAGTTTAATGATGCTTCAGCTCTTCTTTTTTCAAATTCCTGTTATTAGTTTCATCAGCTCCTTTCAACCATTGTGTGAGTGACTGTGCTGGTCACAGGTGCCCTTCAGAGGTGTGCCTGGAAGCCTCTTTGTGGGAGGATAACAGGTTCTGGTAATTTCCATTTTTTCCTTAGTTCCTGTTATCCTTACAGGGTATCCATGGAGGTGGTAAGCCTCGTTTCTGTGAAAAGCGTTCTGTAAACATGTGAAATACATGCATTCTTATGGGCAAGGTGATCGTCCATCTTTTTCTGTACTTAAAGTATGGCGCCAATTACAGGGAAAACTTCCACATCAACCACTGAAAGGGAAGAAGGAACCAAAATGAAGCCTGTTTTTCTTTCCAGTAGAAGTCCCATTTCTTCTGTCCTTGCCTCTTCTCCCTTGCCAAGCCGTCTCTCAAGTTTCATTAGAAACTTCTGGATAAGAAGTGTCTGTGGCATCAGGTGGGCTGGGTCCTTCACCCTGGGGACCCCAGGTGTAGGATGCTGGCGCAGGAGGTGATGCTGCCTGTCCATGGTCCTCATGCCTCCCCACCTGCCTCCATTGCACACCTCTGCAGATGTACCATGTGCACCAGGCTCCCTGATGGAAAGATGGTGGTGCTTCATAAACAGCAGAGTCACGGGCACAGGGACCCAGCAAAGGGAAGAAGCCGAGGGCCTCATGGAGACAGGCAGGGATTGCACCGGCTAGCCTGGAAGACTGAACTGGGGACACGGCCTAGTCCGGTCTTTCTCTCCATCACCTCCTGGATGAGGGACTGGGCACAGGCTGGATCAGGCCCCATCCAGCTCTGACATTCTGGGGTTCTGCCTGCACAACCTAAGGTGTCTCTCTGGTCAGAATGTCTGCACTGGGCCCCAAAGTCAGCTGCCCACAGGTGTTCTCAAAAGGGGCTTTGAAATATCTCCCATGATCAGATGCTGGTAAGCACAGGGGAATTTTCATTGCAAGAAGCCTTTTTGTTTTTGCTCGGTCCATACCTAATGATCATAAGCTTGCCTGAGCTCTTGGTAGGCCAGCCCACCATGAGTCAGAGATGACTCCATCTCCGGGTTGTCTGTGGATAGGAGGTCCTGGCCAGGCTGACGTGTGTGGCATGGCTTGTGGCAGAGTCCTTGCCTTCAGCATCGGCGAAAATTCCAGCAGTGGGAATGACTCCCGACTTCTTCCCTGTCTTCTCTGTCATTCTGTCACCTTATCTGAAAAATAGTTACTGAGTTTCTACTAAGATTCATGTGCTAGAAGTTTGGAAAAATCTGGAACTGCTGGTAGAAGTGATGCCATCCTCTTAGGATGGCACCATCACCTGTGCTTGTCATTTTGAACATTTACCAGTATTCACTGCTTCCTAATGGCCCAGGGGAGCAGGAAGTGAAATGATTTAGTGAGCAGTTATTGAGGACCTATTGTGTGCTTAGTGCTATGAGAATAAAGTAGATAGGAACAGTATGGCTACTAGGCACATGGTGGCAACCGAGGAAGAAGTGATGTAACTCCTCTGAGGATAACCCTGCTGAAGGGCGGGGGGAGGATGCCACAGCTAGCTCACGGGAGAGGCTCGTGGAAGATGTGGCCACAGAAGAGAAACGGAAAGACACGCTGAGTTTATCAACTGTGAATGCAATGGCAGAGGTTGTCACAAGGATGGGAATGAACCAGTGCGGCTGGTGTTTCCCAAAGAGGATGCCACAGTGGGGTTTCGTAGGGGGATCGCGGGTGACATCTGATACAGCAATATTTATTTTGATTGCTTTGAATTCATTTATACATATTGAATAAATACATATGTGTCTTTTCTAATGGAAGTCAGAGTTTAAAGAGTAAATTCACTGGGGAATTCTGGATAGTCGAGGTAATGGCAACTACATAAATGTGAAACTGCACGTCTCTTCTAAGTAAAATAAAGACAGAGCATAACAAACTATGCAAAACCAGCATCTTCAGTGCAACTCAGAGACAGAGAATGATCAAACATGAAAACTTTCTCCAGCACAGCGCAGGCGCCGTCCTCACACTCGACAGGTGTTTGCAGGTCAAGTGCCGCTCACAGAACAGGGAGACCAGCTTCAGGTCAGAAACGGATCTGAATCCACCCCTGGAAAGAGGAAGTCACTTTAAGCATGAACGTGCATTTCCTGGCATATCAAAGCACTGACTATAAAGAAGAGCTTTTCAGTGTGCGGTGGATATGACAGCACAACCTGGGAAAGGCCATGCTTGGGAGGTTTAAAGGTTAACAAAAAGGGCGGCATGGTGAAGGCTGCACAGTGAAGGGCAGAGGAGGTGTGGGGGAGGGGATCCTGTAAGAAAAAACCAGAGGACATGCACCCGCTCTTCTTACTGCCACCTCCAAAAATATTGACAAGAAAGAGAAAGAATAATCCATTCAGTGAGGAAACTACGCTTTACTGCACTGACAGAAAGCAGGCAAGGGTAGTCTTGAAGTATCTCATGAAACAAACTAAACTGCTGTCCTGGTTCACATAAAGGCAGAGGCGCAGACAGTCTTTCTCTATGCAAAACTACCAGAAAGGAAAACTAAAGGTGGGATTCCAAACTGCTTAGCTGGAAACCGCCCCCTACAAAAGAAGTAACAAAGCAGAAGAAAACTGTTGTGTTATACTCCCAAATTAGACACACTCAAACAGCATGGAGAGGTCTGCAGAACACCCTCAACCAGAAGTGCAAAAACTAAGACCAGAAATCAGTGTAAAAAGACAAAAAAAAAAAAAAATGAGAGATTGAAGTTGGAAAATAATGAAAGACAAAATCAGATCAGCAGTGAAGTCCAAATTAGAAGGCACCCCAAAAATAGGTTAGAATTAAAATATACATTTTCAGTGAAAATACGTTTAAAAAGGTAAAAACAAACTGAGACAATGAAAATGAGGAAAAGAAGCAACAATGTAAATACAATCAAAGAGAAAGTGGATGAAATAGATTATTGGGAAAAATACCCAATTTACCTATAAAGAAAAAAAAAAACAGTGGGGCAGAGCTACTATTTAAAACCACAATCTAAGGGAAAATGCTTAGTAATGAAGTAACACCTGAACGTACATACTGAAAATTAACTAGTATACACCCTAGCAAAATGATTGGATAAAGCAATTTACAGCAGCCAAAAAAATAGACTAAACTTAGAGAACTCAAAGTACATGCGAACCAAAGCAACAGTGGGGCGGACTTGTCAAAGTACTCCAGGAAGGACTCAAAGTACATGCGAACCAAAGCAACAGTGGGGTGGACTTGTCAAAGTACTCCAGGAAGGACTCAAAGTACATGCGAACCAAAGCAACAGTGGGGCGGACTTGTGAAAGTACTCCAGGAAGGACTCAAAGTACATGCGAACCAAAGCAACAGTGGGGTGGACTTGTCAAAGTACTCCAGGAAGGACTCAAAGTACATGCGAACCAAAGCAACAGTGGGGCGGACTTGTGAAAGTACTCCAGGAAGGAAACTGAACCGAGTTCTTCACATCTGGCCAGGCAGCCCCTCCGATGTCCAGAGTGTTCAAACAGTAGTTTTAACATTCAGCACGCCGGAGCTTTCGTGAAGAATTCACACACGCACACACACACACACACACACACACACATTTGTCTTGCCAAGAGATGACTGTGGAGGCTTTAGAACAAAGACCATTGGCATTTTATATATTTAATATTTGTATCTAATGCTTGTAGGTAGAGAGAAGGCTAAAGTGGTGTTGCAAAGATAGATCTAGGGCTCTCTCTCTCTCTCTGTGTGTGTGTGTGTGTGTGTGTAATGCAAAGGAAGTGCAGAGATAAAAGAGATGGAAAGAAGAACACACTCATTGATCACTGATTGGCGTATGGGCAATAGTGATAGGTAGGATACTCTTAAAACAAGGGCCAGGTGTGGTGGCTCATGCCTGTAATCCCAGCACTTTGGGAGGCTGAGGTGGACGGATCACCTGAGGTCAGGAGTTCAAGGCAGCCTGGCTAACACAGTGAAACCCCATATCAGAGGTCGAAGACCAACTTAATGAAATAAAACAAGAAGACAAGAATAGAGAAAAAAGGATAAAAAGGAATGAGCAAAGTCTCCAAGAAATATGGGACTGTGAAAAGACCTAATCTATGTTTGATAGGTGTACCCGAATGTGATGGAGAGAATGAATCCAAGCTGGAAAATACTCTTCAGGGTATTATCCAGGAAAATTTTCACAATCTAGCAAAGCAGGACACTATTCAACCCCAGGTAATACAGAGAACACCACAAAGATATTCCTCAAGAAGAGCAGCCCCAAGGCACATAATCATTAGATTCACCAGGGTTTAAATGAAGGAGAAAATGCTAAGGGCAGCCACAGAGAAAGGCCAAGTTACCCACAAAGGGAAGCCTATTAGACTTACAGCAGATCTCTCAGCAGAAACCCTACAAGCCAGAAGAGAGTGGGGGCCTATTTATTGAACATCCTTAAAGAACAGAACTTTCAGCCCAGAATTTCATATCCTGCCAAACTAAGCTTCACAATTGAAGGAAAAATAAAATCTTTTATGAACAAGCAAGTACTCAGAGATTTTATTACCACCAGGCCTGCTTTACAAGAACTTCTGAAAGAAGCATTATACACAGAAAGGAACAACCAGTATTAGCCTTTCTAAAAATATACCAAAAAGTAAAGAGCATCAACATAAAGAAGAATTTACATCAACAAATGGATAAAATGGCCAGTTAACATCAAATGGCAGTAACCCTAAATTTGAATCGACTAAATCCCCCAATCAAAAGACACAGCCAAAACCTAACGGTGTGCTGCATCC